TTCAATCTAGCATAAAAAAAATTCAAATAAGTATGTATATGTATTATCCAAACAGACAAAATTTTGGAAAAACGCGTTTAAACGCACAAAAGGGAACCGCGATTGTGAGTGATTAACGTTCATTAAAAAAACGCAAGAAAACGCGTGTATTGGCGTTTTCTTTAACTATCTGGGCGTGAAAACTCCAGTTTTTGAGCGTTAAAACACATTGTTTTTAAATTCTAGAATAAAAGTGCGTTTTAACGCTCAAAAACTGGAGTTTTCGCCGTTTTCACGCCTAGAAAGTTAAAGAAAACGCCAATACACGCGTTTTCTTGCGTTTTTTTAATGAGCATTAATGACTCACAATCGCGGTTCCCTTTTGTGCGTTTTTCCAAAATTTTGTCTGCTTGGATATTGTATATGTTAAATATATAATGAATGATTTTGACGAATTAAAATGAAAGCTTGAAATTTCATTTTTGTTCATCGATTTTTAATTTAAAAACAATATTTTATTTCAAATGAATGCTAATAAAATAAAAATCAAATGTAACATTAGAGTTCGCACAATGAATATTCTTGCACATATTACTTGACATATGTCAAAAATTACTGCGTAATTTCTCAAATTTATTTCTACTACACGACTGATTATACAAGTAGCAACATATGAAGCGTAAGTAACATGTTTCTCATCTAAACATGATGAGATGTTGACTAAATAAAATAATAATGTTAAGATTGTTAACATATGAATGAACATTGTTTATGAAAATCGGTATTTATGTTATAGGCGAAAGCAAAAATGAATGATCATATAGTTACTATTGTTGTTTTTTCACTTGTGAGATGTATGACGAACAATGATTATTTCTTTTATAATTACCGAATTTTCATCTAAAGATAAAATTTCGATTGCATTTTTTGTTTGTTTCGTTTTCTAACATTAATTTGAAACTTTCAATATTATGTTTTCTTTTTGCTGTTCTCGTTCTTTATCCGATTACATAAATACAAAAGACAACAATATTTATTTGCTTTATTTTTCTCAGATAATCACGATCGTGAACGTGTTTGCTGTATCATAATTTTTTTCAATTATACTTTATTTTCAAAGATATTTCGCTATAAAAAAGCATAATACAATGAATATACTGTTTAGCTAATAAGGAAAAACTAATGAAGACACGTAGTGTCGAACTTTTTCGCTAAACTCAAAATTCGTTCACAAAAAAAGTACAAAAACAAATCACATATATACGATATAAGTTATAAGATCCTATGAAAGAAAAAACTGATGATTATGTAACATAGATTCGATATTATTGTTCATATTTTCCATTTTTTCGAATTTACTTTAACAAATGTGTTTGAGTTAAAAGATATTTATAAAATTGTTCATACGAATAATTAAAGCGAAAATAAGAATTTCTTATAAGCTTCAGTTCACACATTAAGTAGCTGACTGTATAACTTCGACAATACCAATCATCAATAGAGAGAAAAGATGGTACAATATTAATCTATTGTATTAATGAGTTATGATAAGATTTAATTTCGCTAAAAAAGCTGTGATATGATTTAGAAAAACAAATTCAATCAAGATTTTATCTTTAGATGGAAAACTCGATAATTACAAAAGAAACGATCATTATTAGTACAGATTTTCATAAACAATATTCATTCATATATTAACATTCTTAATATTATTATTTTATTTAGTAAACATCTCATCATGTGTAGATGCAAAACATGTTACTTACGCTTCATATGTTACTGCTTGTATAATTGGTCGTTCAATAGAAATAAATTTGAAGAATTACGCAAAAATTTTCGAAGCATGTCAAGTAATCTGTTCAAAGAATATTCACTATGCGAACTGAAATTTTACGTTTAATACTTTTTTTTAATGCTCATAACAAAGACAGAGAGTACAATATAAGCTTAAAAATTTACATAATTAACTAAAAAACGTTTGTATTGTAAAATATAATCGAGATTTATTGAGATCTAATCATCTATATTTCTTTGTGATAAGTCCGCATAACCTACAGCATGAGAGTCTTGACAAAAAAAGAAATATTCACTCATTTTTCGACTACCAAAAGATAACTAGTTAGAGCTACAATCAGAATTTTTATCTATTCCCAAATATACGATCAAATTTTCCTTTCTAGGATAAAATGGAACAACTATCAGTAAATTTTGTAAAACAAAAAAGAAAGAGCTCAAAATTATGTTTGTACAAAGCAAAATAGCAGTTTTGAGGCAGTCCCATCTGGTCAAACTCATCAGTCTTAGTTCAAAATTATATACTTGAAATTTGTATTTCTATAGATTTTCTTGTATTTTAGTTCCCATCAATAATTTTTATATCTGCTAAAACTATTTTTAATGATGTTAATGTAAACGAAAAATAATTTCAGATATTTATCATACGAATACATACAATTTGTTTTTTGTTCAGAGATGATGAAACAGAAATTACAATTCCTAATGATTCATTTGATTTTTCATGTTCACCATTAACAATTTGTTCTAGCTGAAATAATAATATAAAATATTACTATTGGCTTCAAAAGAGAAAAAAAAAAACAAGACCTTAAAATCATACTTTACTATCAATTGTCGTTTGTAACGAAAGTTTTTGTTTATTATTCTTTGTTTTAATTTTATTATTTAGACGTTTTAATTTTTTCTTCGAATTTCTTAATTTTAATATCATTTTTTTTCTTGATTTTTCTTCTTGTTTGAAATGAAATTTACATAAGGATTCAGATGGTTTACGAACTTTTTCCATACATTCTTCACAAAGTTTATACCAAGATTTTTTATTTGGATTATATTGTTCCCAATAGCCGCCAGTATTTTCTATCATTTCACCTTTAATATATCGTATTCGAAATACAGGTTCATCCTCATCGTCATCAATTTCTATCATGATTATGATCTAAAATAAACTATTTAAACAAAAATAATAACAAAATTTATTTTTAAGAAATATTTAGAAAATACAAATACATATTCATATTTAGTATTTCATTGTTGAAATTACGATTCATGCAGCTTATTAATAGTTTACATTTTTTTGTCAGAAAAAAAAAAAACAGTTTTGTTCGTGTCAAATACAATTTTTAAAAAAATCTTACCGAGAAAATTACGTGAAATTACGAAATACGAAAAAAAAAAGTAACTCGAATGAATGTTAATTCCAAGAACTCAAGCGAATGTTTGTTATGAAATGAGAACAAAAAACGAACTAGCTCAATAAGATGTGAACATTTTTCTATAATATTCCAATATCAATAGAAGATGCCTGCTATTATAATTCAATAGATCTATAATAGTCATAGAAATGATCGAATATCCATCTATATATCATATTGTAAGGCTATTGACCGTTACGCTTCATTTCTTTTCTCAATATAAATTCTGCATACTGTTGACCGAACGTGATAAACTAACGCTTGCCGACAATGTAATAGACATAAAATCATTCTATACGAAAGATATTATTTGACACAGTTGTATATCAACAGATCATTTGAATGATTCATTTTTTTTTATCCCGTTGACGATGGAAAACATTAATATACGTTGTGCGTTTTTTTGCACAGATTCTAACTAATACAGGGTTGTGCATAACATTTTGCTAGGGGGGTAGCGTCATTATTTCAAGTTGAATACCTAATGAATTTTATACCAAATTAAAGAGCGTCGAAAACTGGATTTATTAGTACTAAATAGTAAGAGTTATCAAAATATGTTAATGTGGAACTTACGAAATTTTCGGAATTTTATGCTTTTTTTACCATAGAAAATTAAGGCGCCAGCAATTCAAATATATAGTAAGATATTTNCGGGGTGGCGCGCGTGGCGGTTGCTCGCTGGCGGGTCGGGTCTTCGTGTGTGGGGGAGCTCCCGCGTGCGCCCCCCCCTGGCTCCGCCACTAATTATAACTTTTCTTAAATTCAAACGATCGAGATGCAAATGTCCTCATTGCTTTACATTTCTAAAGTAGTACATGCGCTATATAAATTTCATATAGGTAACCTTACGAACGGTGAACATCATAGATGGATACTTTCAACTAGTAATGCACTTTATCTAGGTTAATAGTGTTTGTTGTACACAATATCTATTTGATAGTTTCCTTGCGAATAAAAAATCTTGAAAAGTTCTTTATCATCAGGAAAATAAACAGTCCCATTGATTAAAGTAGTCCGAAGATATAGATTTTTTTTGTATTGTTTATTTATTTATGGGTAACTCTGTATAGTCAGTTTGAGTGTATAAGAGAAATAGATTACAAATGAAATCTCTTCATTGAATTTAAAAATTGTAATTATTAAAGAGAAGCACATATTTAGGGTTTACTTGTTTTTTCGTCCGATCCATATCTGGACACGAACAGTAGGATTTCATTCTCCAGATTGTGCATAATACTAATTATGAAATGCACATGAAGTTATCATCGAACCTATGACAAAAACAGAAAAATCATCTGTTAAATGCTCAATTTTTTTCTTCTCATACTCGAAATTTTTTTTATTAAATATCAAACAAATTAATCAAGATATTAATACTATATTACGTCATAATTTCAGTAAAACTAACAAAATTAAAATTTATCAAATATAAACTTAGATATCAAATGCAACAACACAATAAAAGATAAAAAATAATAATTATCTTTATCATTAAAAAATGATTTCGCTAATATACGAAAAAAGAAAAAAACAATTTCATATCATTCTCGATTGATTCTTATTAATGATGAAATAAAATGACCAGGTGAGTACTCGAGTAAATGCTCGCGCTTGAGGGACGGATATTCTTACTTATATACTCATGATACGAAAAGTTCGTAGTCGTACGCATCCAGTTCTGCCCCTTTTATAAAGGTAACTTGAATTAAGAAAACAAAAAAATAAAGATACTATATTTATGCTTACTGTTATGTTCATTTCCTCAGTAATTTGTGCTAGAATAAATAAAAACAAAAGAATTACAATTATTTAATTTGTTATAAGCTCTATATTACTTTTTTCCTCATTGATAATACCATTGCTATTTGCTGGTTGAATATTATTATCTTCAGATTCTTTAACTTGCATTTCGAGTCCATGACTAAATTTTGTAACAAAATTTTATTAGAAAATATAAAGTAAAATTCATTAGAATTACCGTCTACAATAAGCTTCACTTTGTCGAGGTACACGACTTTGACATGTAGGAACTGAACAAAGAAAACGTAATTTTCCAGATGCATCCCGAAATGATCGAGTTGTTCCACTACGTTGTATAATATTCTGTTAAATAAAAACGTTTTTTTTTTTTTTTTGCAAAAATTAAATAACTTTGTTTTTTCACTTTTTTTGGTGCTTCATATTCATCAGATTGATTACCATCAGTACCATTTTCAGATGCTGTTGTTGTTGTTGTTGTTGTTGCTGTAGTGTTCGTCGTTTGAAACGGTGAACGAAAACGATTTTTTTTCGATGAAATTGTTGATGCCGGAGCTGAATGACGATTTTGCGTTCGACGTTTTGGTTTACTCTCAATTGATTGTTTTCCGTTAGATAGATGTCTAAAAGTTCAACACAAAAGAAATTTTTTCAAGTTATACATCGTATTACATAGAAAAACTTTTTTCATCTCGTTCTTTAACTCATTTACTGAAAATGTTAATAGAAATCTATGTTTAGATTGTATTCTAAATGATCACTAATGATAGATCATAATTAGATTATAATCATCAAAAATATAATAGAGTAGTCAAGCATTACAAAATAATCCATAAATAACCAATAGTTATTGAAGCTAGAGGTCAGACAAGCAAATTCTGCTATTGCTTTTTCTTTTTTTTTTGGTTTCATCAAGTCTCTGCCATTAGGATCTAGCAGTCAGAAATTAGACGGTTAACAGCTGCCTAGCAAAAAGTTTTCGAACTATACTAACTGAGAAACAAGAGGTTGATCTTTGAGATTTTAGTCTTTAGTGTGAAAATACGAAGCCATTCGAAAGAGTTGAATACCAATGTATTTTTAACAGAAGATCATATAGAATCATATTTAAGTCTGGTATATGTTCAAAACCTAAATCCATTTGATTTCTGTCTGCCGTTGAAACTGAAATATTAATGTTATACGCATGAAAACAAGTCATAAATGATTTTATAAAAGATTATCCTCTCCAAAAAACACAACTTCTATTGCCTTGTCTAATTGAATGCACAAAATGAAAAAAAAAACTATTTTGGAAATATCTAATGATATGAAGAAACAATAAACTATTTCATTCACTTACAAACGACAAAAGAAATCTGATTGACGTCTTAAAGCATTTGGACATGTTTCATGCATACAAAGATATCGACGACGACCAGAATTGTCACGAAAACTACGTGCACCTGTTATTTCATCTACTTGAATTTGTCGATTTGACTAAATAAATAAAAACAATCAAAAAAAAAAAAATAAAACAAATTGATATGAGAAATAATTTGAACAAACATGAGAATTAACTGCAAGTGCTGTTGAAGTATCTGTTTGCATGTTATCATGAATGTCTTCGACATCATCGTCATGCATTGAATCTAAATAAGAAGAAATGTTTTTTTTTTTTTTTCTTTTTTTGTTATAAATATTATAATTTAAATTAAATGACATACCATTGTTTGCACTTTCATTTGGTTCTTCCATAAGACTTGCTTCCGTTGTTGTATTTTGTTGTGCCTTTAAAATATCACAAAGATTAATAGAAAAAAGAAAAACAAGACAATCAATGTATTATTTTTACTGTTGTCGAGGATTCTTCATCGATCACTTCACCATTGTCTTGAATATCATTCTCATCAACTAAAAATAAATATATCATATCTATAGTCAAACATTTATTTCTAATCTACTTTGATCCGATTTTGTTGAAATATTGGCAATACCTTCATTGTCCGTTTGTTGTTCTTGAATATGACTATAACAAAAAATCAACTTTGTTTTTTTTTTTTTTCTTTCTCATTTTTATAGAAATTAATTAACTTACATTTTACAATACCGATCTGCTTCACGAGATACTCGTGCTTTACAATTTGGATTTGAACAAACATAATACCGTCTGCCACTTGGTCGATTAGCTGAACGAACTAAAAAATAACGACGACCAGTAGTTTTCGAGGTAATAATTGTTCGTTTCGTGCCGGGTGTCATCTAAAATAATAATCATACGTAAATCAACTATTGTATGATTTTTATAATTTTTCTATCATCAGAGAATCGTTTATACAAGGAATTCACCATGTTATTTTTATTGGACGAAAGAACTATCAATGGTAGATTTTCAATATATGTATGAATTGAATTTTAATGACTTGAGCAATCTTAGATTTTGAAGTAAGAACTTTATGAAAAATTCTCAAACGAAATATTTTTACGAGAATGTCAATAAAAACTAATCCTATAAATCTTATCATATTATTCGTGTAATATACTCTTCACTAACGAGAAAATATTTTCACTGCCCATGGCTTATTTCTAAGGTTATCACATTTATTCTAATAAATTTTTGCTGTAGGATCTCATGTTTTCAAATTTTAACCTGAAACTTTGCTCATACAAAGATCTCAATTAGATTAACTTGCACAAAAAAAATCTTTCAGAACTATCAGACTAAGTCTCTCAGAGATATGAAGTTTTCTAAAAAAAAATACATACTGGGTACGAACACTTTTTATACTCGACAGAGTTCACTAAGATTGACAAGGTGCATTAACTAAGGAAAACTTCACAAGTAATAAATCGCTTTTAAATTGAAACTATATTCAATCGATAGAGTTTCGTGACTAAATAAATAACATAGTGATTCATTTCTCTAGGATTCTAGTTTTAAATTTTGACTTGAAACTTAGCCTACAAGAAAAATCCATTGAACACTCCAAAATCTCAATAATTCGAACAACTTTTAGGGAATTCACCTACATCACTAAGCTCTATCTATTGAATATAGTTCCAGCTAAATTTGAACTATTCCTATGAATGATCTAGAAATCAAAGCAACCGTCTAACTGCTTTAACTAATAGAAAAACACAAAATAATTTCTTTCTATGTTCAAACATCAGGTTTTTATGTCTCCTTGAAAATAACAACAAAAATGCACACAAACAAACAAAACAAAAACATCCACAGTATATAAACAAAAGCTCGTTTTTTTTTTTGTTCAAAATTCTCTACAAACACATGCATAAATCGATTCCTGATCATCATAAGCGTTCAGGATTTAAAAAACAAAAACAAACCGTTTTTTGTTTGCAAATAAAACGAAGAAAAAAAAAAAAATAAACTGAAAAAAGAAATATATAGCTTAGAACTGAAAACGAAGATTATTTTGTTTGTAATTATTATCAGGTACAGTTTGATTAGTACTGTTATTACCAAACGAAAACATATCATTATGTGGAACTTGACTCATTGCTGAAATATCATCATCATCCTAAACAACAACAAAAAATAATAATTATTCAACTTATTTAAGATTTTTATTTAATTTACATTTTCATGTGAGAAATATTTTTCTATAATTTCATAGGATTGTTGATAAATATCATTATTTGAATATGTTTGAAGATTTTCAATTTTATCAAGACCTATTTATTTATAAATAACAAATTGAAAACAAAAAAAAAAAAAAATCAATTAAATTTCTTTTTTTTTTGTTATTCATACCTCCACATTCTTCGATTTCTTTGGTAACATGTTCAAGATTTTCTTCAGATATTTGTTTAAGAATATTATGTAATGCATCAAGACATACTTGTAACAATTGAGCATCGTTTTGTTGTAATAAATTACTAAATAAAGCAAGAAAAAAATAAAAACAAAAAGAATTTCCTAACAAACCAAAGAGGTGGAATAACATGTTGATCAACAACATATTGAATTTGTTCTACAGAACCACTCATTGTTAAATTTGATATACACCAAGCTGCTTCTTTTTGAATTTGAATATCACTCTATAAGAAAAAAAAAATTTTTTTTGTCTCAAAAAAAAAAAGCAAATTTCATTTTATTTTTCATACATGTTGTAAATGATGAATAACATCTGGTATAAGTTGAGTATTAATTACTGCTTGAACTTGCTGTTGATTACCAGCTGTTATATTTGATAAAAACCAAACAGCTTCCTAAAACAAAATAATCCAATCAAAATAGGATTCGCTTTTTTTTCTTCTTTTTTAACGAAAATAAAATCCTACAAGAAAATGTTAATCGTCATTAAATATAAATTACATTGATATGAATTATTTATTATTTTCATCAAACATTATAATATCGTATAGAAAATTTTTCTGTATATATAATATAAATAGTATTTCATTAATGTTTAATTATGACTTGGATTAATTTGCACTTACAAATAGTTAGTTATAATATAAGGATTGTGATTGATAAGATAATGAATTTGTTTGATAGATTCAGATAGTGTCGCAATTACAGATCTATCAGGTTGGGCTTCGTGTATGACCTTTTCATGAAGTCATTTAGATAATTTTTCAATTCTTTTGAATGTAAAGTTTAATAGAGATACAAAAATTTGAATAGCTTTCAGTGGAATCTTCTTATTATTATGATACTAATTGAAGAAATGCAAATGCTCTATCTGTAATATCAATATTTACAAAGAATTATTGTCCTTGAGCTTTCTATACAATATTATAGCGCTGTAATTATTACTTTTGGTATGTTTGAAGTAACAGATAATGTATAAATAATTAAATCAATGTCAAAATTGACTAAGCTTCTTTGCTTTTGATATTAGATTCAATTATATGAACTGTCGAAATCTAACTCATTACAAAATATGTTATTCATGTTAAAACTGATCTATTAACAGAAATTTACATTCGAATTTAATAGGTTACAAAGATAGAACATGCAATCAGAAATATTTCGAAGACTACACACACTCCTGGAGTCTACTACTTTTGAATAGTAAATATGAAAACTAATAATTAAGATCGACGTAAGTTTTCATCCTCTGCAAAATGACATTGATTATGTTTATCGATTATTTTATAGAAGGTCACGTCGGTACGATATTGTACCTACCTGACCCTCTACAAACTAATCGATAAACATAATCCATATGTTATAATGTAGAGCATAAAAACTCACGTTGACCTTCATTATTAATTTTCATATTAAATTAATAAAAGGAAAAAAGATATCCTTTCCATAGTGATTATCCAAAAATAATAGATCCCTAGGGTTATTCAGCCCTCGAAATATTTTTCTTTTTGCATTCAACAAAAATATAAATAAATAAATAAATACATAAAAATGTTCAGAATTTCATGCTCAATTTAACAGATGATATACAAAATATAGAACTTACTTTATTAAGTTTATTTTTTTGATGTTTAAGTAATTTGGAAAAATAATTCAAAACACCATGATTAAGTACATATTGTGTTTGTTCATCAGTACCTGTTACTACATTTCCAACAGCTCTCAATGCTAAATTGATAATTAAAACAAAAAATGATTATTTTAAATAAATTTTATTTACCAGCTGTAACAATTTTTATTTCATTATGATTTAATAATCTAATAATATCAGATATCATACCGGATTCCACAACAAGCTAAAATAAAGAATTATAATTAAAATATACAAATTGAATATAATTTACTTGAATCATAGTATTTCCACAATCAAGAAGATATGCTAATGCCCATGTACAATCAACAAGAATCTAAATAAATAAATTATAAAAAATTCCACATTTTTGTTTATTTTTTTTTTTTTTTATTATACATACAGTAACATCAGTAAATGATAAAAGATATTTTAATGCAGGTAATATTTCTTGTACAACATTTAATGATAATGGTGGATCTTTATGACGACAAAGATTAACAATAACCCATGTTACATTTCGAAGAAATGTTATTGGAATATCTTTTTGTATAAATTCAATTAATGGTTGAATAACACCTAATTCAATAGCATAATCACGTAATCTTGACCCATCACCTTGAAAAAAAAATTTACAAAAAAAACAATAATTTTTTTTTTTCTTCTAATTTTACCAATAAGATTTCCTATAGCCCAAACAGCTTGTTCACTAACATTTGAATATGTTGAATGTAATAAACGTAATAAATATGGTAATGCATTTGCATTAACAACAGCTTGTGTTTGTTGTGAATTACCTGATGCTATATTTGTTAATGCCCATGCAGCTTCAAATTGTAAGTCAGGATATTGATCATATGATAAACATTGTACAAGTATTGGTAAAAGATTTAAATTAATTAATTCATCAATTGGTGGATTACGTTCAATAGATAAAAATTTTCGTGCTGAACGTATACCTTGATAACATATGGATAAATCGGAATTTTGACATTTTAGTAGAATTTCATTAAGATTTAAACAACGACGTTGTTCATCATTATCATCATCGGTTTCATCTGACATACTATCATTAGCAATTAGATTACGTTTAAATTGTATTTGTTCATCACGTTTAGTCTAAAAGATAATCAAATTAATGTTTTTTCTTTTTCTTCTTGAGTTTAATCAATACTTTTCGTAATGATATAGTATATTGATTTCGTCGACGTCGAAGTTCATCGGAATCTTTATCACGATGTTTATATGACTGAATACGACTAGATGTGTTTTTTGATAATGAAGAATTCATATCTTGAAAATAGAAAAAACAAACAAAAACAAAAAAAAATACGATTAATTATTTTTCTTTCTATTCCAGTGAATGATAAATAGTTTAATCGATGCATTTGGATAGGCTCTTACTGTATGGCCTTTATTTCTGAAATAATCGCCGAACAAGATTAGAAAACAAAAAAAAGAATTTTTTTTTCTCATAAAAATGACTCATTCAGTTTAGTACATTGTACGCTTTCATATAATATTACGTATATGCATAAGAAAAAAAACTAGTACATTCTTTTAGTTTAAATAGATGGCGACATAAGTCAAAGAATCATTCTGAAGGTTTGTCATAGAAACATGGGATTAATGGGATAATTTTAGTTGATGCCTACTACATAGCGTCTTTTATGGATTTTGAACTTTGATGTTTTCTATTGTTTTATATGAAGTCTAAAAGAACAATATTATACGATTTAGAGAATAATTAGTGTTAAATAGGGAAGACCATCAAAAATCTGACTTCGATAGAATACATGAGTCTCTAGTATTTACGATTAATTAGAAAATTCCTTTGCCTCATCTGAAGGGCTATGCATATATTTATCGATTAGAAAATATAATAGCTCTCTAGAATGAGAATTATATTGAGAAAAAAAATTTGTTCACAATTGGATCATTATGGAAAAAAGTTATTTTTGAGAAACATGCAAAAAAATTTTTTTTTAAATAGTCTTCTTCCTATTACTCGAAATGAAGGTGAAACATAAATATATTGCATGTCAGTCGAAGCACTTGCCTACGTACATTGAATTATTCTGGTGGAAGATACAACACAATCCATGATGCTACGTACCATGGTCTTTAGATTTGTTATACTATTCAACTATATAATAAAAACAGGAGAATAAAAAATAAATTTTTTATAGGTGTATGGGTGAGGATTCATACTTACACCTTCATGTCATTATAGATCTCAAAAGTGAGCGTCTAAAATGCGCGATATTTGATTGTTTTGCAGATCTAACTCTACCAAATAAATTTTACTGATTCTTCTAGATATCATTATTTGTTCAGATAGTTTCAAAGATCATTCATAAAAACTTTTGAGAATCCAACCTATTTTTATAAATTTACTAGCGGAGGTACCCGATGTTAGTCGAGATAATTTAGTAATATATACTTGACATATTAGAAAACAATATCGTTATGATCTCCTATCAATTTTTGGAATTCGATATCGCAAAATATGCTCAGATCACTTTCCGTTTTCAACTGATGTTTTTGTCATTTTTAATTTTTTAAAAACATTTCCACCCTTTTCAGTGTTCTTTTTG